ATTCCTGCTTTATGTGAGTGACTACCATAACAGAAAACAGTGAGACCACGCAGTTAAGAGTGAGTGTGTGCATTATGAAACTACCAAGTCAGAAGTTATCAACAGCATACTTCTCACACCTCAGCCTGATTCAATAATAGATTAACCTCTCATGCTGAACACAACTACTTTGGTAATTCCTCAGACTCTTGGTTTGACAGTTCTGTATTCCCCTTGAAAAGCCTCTCTTCCCTGGATGTTGCAGCCTGGAAAGCCCACAGTGAGCGTAAAGCAAGCTGGCAGCTGACACTGAAACTACTCATCTTGACAAGACTTAAAATAAGCTGGTTCCCAAGAGCTTAGATATTATTAATATATACAGAATGTGAAAAGAGAATTAAGTATAGCCTATCTTAACTTTTTTAGAAGTCTGTACCATTAGGTATCTACCGAAACAGTGTTTTTTGTATCTGTTGTCTTTCTGAATTATCAAAATTGCATAAAGCCTTTATTTTTAGAATTGCATAAACCCCTACGAATCACTACATAGTACTTGCTAACCTCCTGTAGAACTACTTCAGCCAGACAGTTTAGCATAGACCACCACCTTCAGCCAAGGAACTTTTAGTTGGAAATTATATGCTGAAATACTGTCTTTCAAATGATGCTAGCAAAGGGTATTACAGCAGCTAAAACTTGTGAAGTGCTAAAAAAAAAAAAAAGGAAATGCAAACCCACACCTCATTATGAGTAATTAAAAACTTTATATTATTAATACTTTTATTTACTTAATCATATATCTTTGTTTTACAAGTATAAAGACGACAAATAGTCTCAGGTCACCACCAGAAGCATTATGCTGAAGAAAAAACTCCACATCTTTCTCTTGTGAGACTGTAATTCTTCTTATGCGGAAAATACAAATGACACTTTGCAACAGAAGTGGGAATTCACCAGAAGAACCACCAGGACTCCTGGTTCCACAGGATGTAGAGTTTTAAGGGATAAAGGAGGGAGGCTATGATGTGCAAGAGATGGCAGTCGATTTTGGAGAAATGCACAAGAAGGCTGTAGCATTTGCTGGTAGTTTTTTTCCCATCCAATAAAATTTGTCAGAAGTTAAAAAGCATAATACAGAAAGGTGTCATCAGCTTCCTATTCTCTTATTCAGACTATCCCCTCAAAAAATACACCCGACTCATCTCTCAACTCTTCTAGCTCAGGATACAAAAATGTTTAGGTCTTACAATATCTGAGATATAGGTATATATATTTTTTTAACCATGATACCTCCATGACCTTCCCTAACTCACTCTTCTTGCAAAGGCACTCATTAAGTTCAACTGTTGTAAAGCAACAGCACTGGCTATCAAGTTTTCAGGACAACTGTAACTTACATTTCTTTGTTAAGCAAAACTTCCACTGAAAACAGCAGGTTTTGGCAACCAAAGTGATGCACACAAGAAAACAAACTACTTTATTAAGGCATTGTCCTCAACTTGCAAGTAATTATAAAAGCCTTGTGAAAAGGCATACAAAGCAAATTTCCATTTTTATTTGTGATTAGGAGCAACTGTGTGACTCTAAGAGTTTCCAAGAGATGACTCCCTAGAGTGTTGAGGAGACCAAAGACTATGGCTCACTGAAAAAAAACCAGCAAAGCTAAGTTTCAGACTGTATCACAAGTTAGGGCTGCTGTTCCACTGTTCAGCTAGCTGCTGTGATTC